AAAATCGACAAACTTATCGTGACTTCGTCACAATGTCGGGCTGCAATTTTTAATCATTAATTCAAACTAAGCTTTCTATAACTTGTCTCAATTTTAACAGTGTCTTGTCCCGGCATATCGTACTTATCCTGATATCAATCTAGTCATGCCTGTTATCTAACTAACTTCGTTCTTGAGATTAACAAAGGACAGACATACAAAACAGATGGACGACAGTGGGAATGTATAGATCTGCAATTTGAAAAATGCAGCCCAAAAACAAAATGTACACATATCAAAGAACAATTACTTTAGGAAACCTGTTGAAAGCTTTAGCATCAGCAACAAATTCTCTTAAATTTTCTAAGGTTTTCTTGTTTTAATAATTTCTTTTTAGTTAGTGCATTCCAAGTTTCACGAGTTTCTGTATGAACAAATTCCTTTGCATTTATGACTTTTTTCTGTCATAATTGACAGATAACAATCATAAAGTGCTCAGAAGATTGATCACCAATGCCATTGCTGTCAATAGCATTGTTTATCTTCTTATGTCCAAATCTATGCAGATAGGTTGTGAAATTTCCATAACCACTAGCAGTAGTGCAATTAGGGGAGGGGCAAGGAAACAAGTACTTCCCCAAAGAGAATTTCAAAAAACTGAAAACATTACACGCTTGCTTACTGTTTTATAATGTTTGATTAGTTATAAAAAATTATTATTATAAATTCTAATAAAAACATGGCAAAAAATTTTCCCTGTTTGAAGTTTTTGGTTGTGCTACTGACCAGTAACACTTTGACTGAGATAGAGGTCAGAGTAAAGGAGTTTTTAAATTGTCTTTAGGTTAAGGATGGCTTAAAAAATGAATCTGTCAGGGATTTCGCTTTCCTATTTTCTTTCCATTGATTTATTGTGTTGGTGACTAAAACTTTTAATAAAATTTATTGGAATTTTGACCAAGTTCAAAAGTAAGTTAATGTTTCCTGCAAATTTGGCAAGAAGATTTGTCCTTTCGTTGTCCATGACCCCTCTGTGACCACATATCCAAGTAAGTAATTTCATTATTAGAGGGCAGCAAACAAATAAGCTTTCTAATTCTAACAATAGTAGCATCACCATAATTTTTGTTTCGATAGTCTGAATAGCTGCTTGGCAGTTCAAATAGAAATACAATGCCATGTTTTTGAATTCAGCGTGACTCTGTGTGTCTTGGAATGCTCTGTAAAAGGCAAGCAGTTCAGCCTGTTAGATATTGTAATATGGGCCAAGCTTGATCCTTTTGTGATATATGCCCGTATTATTTTTGTAAACACAAATGCACCTATTTTGCATCCATTTTTTTGAATTGAATCATCAGTAAAAATTCCAAAACACTTCTTGTGAAAATATTAGAAATCTTGAGATATATATATGTTACTGTGAAAGACCGAAATTAGAGAATGTCGACACATACAAAATACGTCGGTGAAAGACCGAATATTTGGTTATATTATTATACATTCAAACAATCGACAGTGTATGTCGACAAGCAAAGATAAGCTTTGGTGGAGATTGAAACGACACCTCTTTTCTCGGCAACAGTTTGGTGGAAACCACCCACTTTGTCACTGGATGGCATTTTTGTTCTTTTTATCTCATCAGGTTGAGTGACGGAGGATGAGAGGGGTCATCGGTAAGGCGTCGGCGATATCCGAATAAAAGACACCATTAACAGATCAGTTCGTAATCACGTAATAATGTAATCAGTTTGTAATTTGTAAAGAAAAGTGACTTCCCACAGATGAGATTTCTTCTCAAGAAATATAGCTAAGAGAAGCAGCTGCAGCTAATTTGAAAAGTGGGGGCAAAGCTATACACATTGTCATTGCAAAAAGAAGTGTTCCACGAATAAATGCAGTTGTAAAAGCAAGGACTCTTGTGCAATTCAAAGTACCATAACAGTTTAAGTTGTTGCAATAAATAAGATTGTATAATGTTAATCATATAATTTATGTGTAAGTTTATTATTGTATTATTTTCTTTAATGATTTAGAATGTACCGTTTGTTTTAGGTTCAACAGTTTATTTACATGTGCTGTTACTTACACTTTCTCCTATTATGACATATTAAAAAGTTGCATTTTTGTCTTAACGTAATAAAAATATTTTTATTCAACATTCAATATCAGTGCATGCCGAATGTCAACACTTGCCTGTGTAAGTGAGAAATAATGATATTTGGCAAATATTCCATACATACACGAAACAACTGTGTAAATGCTGACATTCACAGAAAAATGTTGACATTCGCCATAAATTGGTCATTCACAGTAACATATATATATATATATATATATATAGTACATATTTAAGGCAATCGTTTGGCTATGTATAGTATTCATTATTACAAACTTAAGTATATATAGTTAGACTTAAAATTTCCAGCAACTGATGGACTGGACCCCTTTAATCCAGACAAAATTATGAGAGGGAACTTGAAATTTTGGAACTTGTTGCCATCAGACTAGTGGGTGGCCACAGATCACATTACATGTAGGGTGAGCTGATATACATTATTTACACTGCATTTGTTGATGGTGATAGTGAAATTTTGTGATATTCTTAGTTTGTTTTGCTTAAATTTAACCTTAGCTATGGCTTCTAAGAGACAGTGTCAGTGGTAGTGTCAAATGTAAATACTAATACCTATATTTCATTTGCTTATTTATTTAAAGTTTCTAGCAATCCATGGTATACTTTAAACACATGTGACAAGTACAGTTAATAAATTAGAGGTGTAATGATAAATTATTATGACCACAGTTAGTCTGGCAAAATGGTTAATCCAGCAAGGCTTTGGAACCAAGAGTACTGGAAATTTGGTGGTGAACTTATATTTAATACAAAAGTGTAACAAATACATATTAAATAAAATTGAAGACATTTTTCATGTTAAGAAAATTTTTAAACTTTGGCGACCAAGTAGCTTAAAAGAAAAGGTCAGGTTGTCAAGATTTGTATTTTGGAACATGAAAGTAAATAAAAAGGTGATTGTTTTGACAATTGTGCCTTCAATTTTAATTAATTAAAAACAGAATAGCTTGCTTTAAAAAAACAAAAATAATTTCAAAATATTTCTGGCTTCATTTTTTGGCTAGATTCAGCATGCATGTAAAATCCAATATTAAATTAATTTTTATTTTGTTCCACATTCAATTTGTTATGATGAAAATGGCTCAAAGTATGGGTACAACTAAAAACATTTTAAAATTTATTAGTTTTGATTTCCCTTTCCTTTGTTTTTTTTATTTATTACTACTATAGATCTAAATTAAAAATACTATTCTGAAGTTTTGAAAAAAAAAAACTTAAAAAGTTAAAACCTTTGGTTGCATATTCATCATAGTTGAAATGAATCTTTATACAATCACAATTTATATTTGTGTTTAATGTAATATTAATTACACTTAATTTTCTATTCATATGAAATGTTATTTATAGATAATGTTTGTTTTATAATTTTCAATTAAAATATTTAATTATTGGACGTATTACACAGAACTACAGTAAGTTCTCACCTAATGTCATTTCATTATAATGCCATCAAGGAAGATACAAGTACCTGTGCATTTGTAATTAAATATATTTATAATCATCATTTTTGAAATTTTCTTTATAAAGAGTAAACACTGATTCTATGAGATGAAAAATAAATGATGGAGGTTGCAACAAACATGTTCCAATTGGAATAATTTTAACTAAATTACATCTTGTTTATATCAATTAGCCTGTGGTAAAATTGGTTTCTTTATACATTGTTTCACTTAATGTCACAATTTCTGAGAACCTTTCGACATTAAGTGAAGACTTGCTGTATTCTAGACAATGAGAAACTTAAAAATGGTAAAATTTTTCTTCTGGTATTTCATTCTCTTGAAATCAAGACCAATTTATCTCTTTCCTAAATTAGATATGTTAGTTCTCTCTTTATAATTCAATTTCACTTTGTATTTAATTTTACATTTTTATAGTTATTTTTAATGATATAAGCAAGATAAATGGAAATGTACTGTTTATTAATTAATTAAATATTAAAATTAAAAAAAATAAAATACATATATGTAATTTAGATATATATTCCTTGTAATTTTAAAATACTTACCTAATAAAATAAAAAGATATTAACAATACGTTCATGCTGAAATATAAATTAGTTACAATCTAGAAATTCAAAACTATTATGATGTTAAACACATTACATCTCCACAGATGCAATAGTAAGCTAAAATATCCTTGAAATTCAAGAAAGTAAGTATATTTTATTTTATTACTGTATGTTTAAAATTTTAACAGAACATTAAATCATTTATAGAATGTTTTTAATATAAGAGTATATACTCCAATTTACAACCAAGAAAAAAAATTTCTATTATTTTTCAAATCAACAGGAAAAAAATTCTAAATTCAAGTGTTTTTTTTCTTATTATTGTACTTATAAATTGAAGTAGACTTTTATATTTTATTAGATGACCTAATTCTGCAGTTTTTGTTGTTACTTCTGAGTAAAAACAAAAACTGTAATAAAAATTGTTTTTGTTCTTAAATCAATCATTTTGTATGTATTTTACCACTTATCTATTACCAGAGTTTGCTCATTTATGTTGAATCATTAATTTAAAATAAACTGTTATTTATATAAACAAATAATATTTATAAGGCACTAAGTGACAGTTAATGAAGCCCACAAAATAAAACATAATATTTTAGATATTAATTTGTAAGATGAAGACAATTTACTATTTGAAACTCTAAAAAATTCAAAATGTAATTGAATTCTAAAAATTGAATGATATTGCAAAATTCTGATACTGAGATCATGAATTTGTTAAAACTAAACTGCAAATGGCCTATTTACTATTTAACAAACATTTTAAATTAAAATTTAAGTTTTTATTTTGTTGATTTTCTAAGTTATTGCCATTACAGTATTTTAAATTTATTTCATTTACTATTGGTTTATAAATACATTATTTAGACTTACCTCAGCAAAGAATTCTTCCATATAGCCTCCATGGGCATCATCCACACTGACAGAAACATCATCATCTCCTTGTGCCTGTAAATATAAATCAGGTTTCTTTAAATATATTCATAAGTATTCAATTGTAAATATTTTGTTACCTATAAGAAAGAAGTGTGCATATTAAAGCATACATACAATACACACAGTATAAGTTATAATAAAAATTTATCAATTTGAGTCTTGAGCCATACATTTCTGTGATTGTTGCTGGAATCCAGGTAACTACTAAGAAACTTTCTTACTGGCAATGCCTGGATCCCAGTAACAATCATAATAATGTATATGTAAGAAAGCTTTTCATATATATACTTTATTGTTCTCCTTGAAGGGGTTGGCCTTATTTTTTTTCTCTGGTCCCCAGACCTTCTAAATTTGAGTGGCAACTACTTAAGCATATGTGAAGCTTTCTTCCCATCAGAAGTTCTGCAGGACCTCACACAGTTTTTAATAGTACAGCATGTTTGGCCTTTAGCATGCTCTACTATTAAAAACTGTGTGAGACTTTTGTCCATGTCACTCCTGGTTATTTTCTCTAGTGTGTTCTTGGTTGATTAGATCATTCTTTCTGCTTGCCTGTTTGACGCTAGATAAAATGGTGCAGTTCTGATGTATTTGACCCTACTCCTATCAAGGACATTTTTAAATTCTGATGACATGAATGCTGTGGCATTTTCTAATACTATTAATGCTGGAATTCCATAGATCAGAAACAATAATCATAATGAAGTGATTACTGCCTTTGATAACATTGAGTGTACAATAGATAAATCAAACCATTTTGAATGAGTATTAGGAAAAATGGATCTTGAACAGATCTGCAGTGTGTGTGCATGTAAACCTTCCAAAGCAACCATCACAAGATGGAAGGGAGGGTTATGCTGAATTGCTGGCAGTTTTGCATGCTTACACTTGGTGTTTTATGTCCCTATTCATATTTGGCCAGTATTTATAGCTTCATGCCTTCTTTCTCAATATACCTGGAATTGCAATTGCAATGTCTCTTCAGAACTTTGTTGAAATTATCACTGTTGTCCTATAACAAAGATCCTTTATTATATGACAGTTCCGTTTCATTGCCTTATGAAGGGTTTGAACTCTGGTTTTTGTCTGGTTTCTGGCCAGGCAAACAGGGTCATCCTTTCACTTTTGTTAAAATTGAGTTTGTTGGTTATGCTAGTCTCTTAACTGCGATTGGAGGTGTTTCTACCATCTCTAATAGGAATAAGTCTTGCTCCAATTTATCTTTCTTCTGGTAACTGGCAGTCAACTAAGGGCATCTGTATTTCTATGTTTTTCCTTCATTTATATACTATTATGTGCTTGTATGAACTTAGCCAAGTTATTTCAACTTAGCACTCTAGGTAAAATTATGACAGGCATTCATTCATCTGTCTGGTTCTAACAACCCCAATAAAGGTTTGTCATCTGTCTACATCCACAGTTTTCCCATGAGTGAAATCATGCAACTTTTTGATGCCTATTATGATTGCAAATGCTCAAATGCTTTCCTGTCAATCTCAACTAAAATCCATTCCAAAGCTAATAATTTGTGGGTGGAATGCTATTGGTATTTCTCCATTAGGCATTCAATGACAGAACTGGGACCCTATGGGAATATGTAGCAGGTCAAAATCAGGAATTTGTTTGAATCATAATAGTGAAATTAATGAAAGTGATTAATGATTTCACTTTGTTAAATGCATGTTCATGACCCCATGTCCATTTTGTTGTTTGATCCAACAAGCAATGTAATGGGTCTCCCACTGTTTCTTTCCTTGGTAAGAACCAATTGCATTAATTCAACAGTTCTAGAAAAAGATTGTAATTGTTTATTTGATGGACTTGGTGTCTTTTGCATTGCTTCTACAACCTCCTGTAATAGATTTATTCCTTCCATGTCTGTCCAGTAAACCAAAAGATGTCACATTGGGCATTCCAAAGATACATTTTTGTTGCTTGATATAAAGTCTCACTTCCTTGAACCATTACAGGATTTGAAGTCGTTGATAACTGCTGGTTTGAGCTACCAATGGCAAAAATATCATTGAAGTATGGAATCACACCGTCTAAATCAGGGGTGTCCAACCCATGGCACGCGGGCCGCATGCGGCCCAAGGCAAGTTCCAATGCGGCCTAATAAACATGTAAACAAAACCGACAAATTTATTTATTTATTATTTATTTAAACGGCATAAACTCGAAAAAGAAGTTTCACAAAGTTTATACATATTTTATTTTTGAGTGGAAAGGAAATATTTTCAAATACTTGGAAATGTGTGAATGAGGAAAAAATACTAAATAAGCTGGACTTGTGACTCAAAAATTATATTCCCAAATTCGGGGAAAGGAGAGAAAGGCCAAAAGATATAAAGTAGTGAGAAAGGTTAAATAGATCTTCTGTTATGCAAATATTGACCCTTAATTTTCCAACCTTATTCACTTTATCTTTTGTCCTTTCTCTCTTTTCCCCTCATTTGGGTTTCTAATCCTTGAGTCCCAACTCCAGCTTTATTTAGTATTCCTTCCAGCATTGCAAGATTTGGCTACTTTGCACCAAATTTGCTACCCTTTTGTTACTTTGGTGTAAAAAATATCAATTGGTGCATTGGCTACTTTTTGGGCTACATATTATTTATAAATATATTAGTTGAATAAAAATGCACTTTAAAATGGTGTTTCGTTGTTTTTTATTAGAGACCCAAATAAAACAAATATTTGTGTTTTTCAAACAAATTTTTGTTTGTCGCCTTTACAATATATGAATTTATCTATTTCTAAGTATAAATTGAAAGTGTCTGTAGAAGTAATTTTTTAAAATATTCTTTTTCATGATTAAGTTTTAATAGTTATTACTATAATCTAGATATGTTAATCTTAAATATACATGTATATTTAAGGATTGAGTTACAAGTATATATAATATATTAATACTTGTGGCCCAAAACTCCAAGACTTCTTCCAATGTGGTCCAGAGAAACAAAAAAGTTGGACACCCCTGGTCTAAACCATTTAGAAAACACTGAATGAAAGATGTCTTGAAAGATTGAAAAATATCCTAATTTCAAACTACCAGTAATTAACCTTGAAGGTCATTTTGTGTTTGGCAATCTTGCTGTCTTGTCATCTATTCTCAACTGTCGGTATGCCTGTGCCACATTTAACTTGGCAAAGCACTCAGCTTGTCCTATCAAGCCTATCAGATGATTTATCACTGGAATTGGCTGAGTCAAAGGATGTGCTACTTTATTTAAGATTAATTTTTAATCAGCACAAATGCTGATAGAGCCATCAGGTTTCACTACAGATGCAATGAGTGTTGTCCATTCTGGTTTGTCAGTCAGTTCCAAAATATCCTGTTGTATCCATTTGTCTATTTTAGGGCATATTCTTAGTGGCACATGCTGTATGAATTGCAGCTGAATTGCAATTGGGTCTTGTATGTTACATATCCAACTCATCCCTAAAAAGTTCCTTAAATTCAACCATTGAACGAATGGTCTCAATGACATGGTTGGTGGATAGATATTGCAATAATGGGAATTCACCATGTCATGGTGAATTCCCATTATTGCAATATCTATCCACATGTAGCATCCTGCCACATAAACCAGCATCCTCGTAATGCTTCAAGTGGAGTTAGTGGCAGAATCTTACTCTCCCAGATTTTGAGGGATGTTGATTCTGAAAAGATAGTATAAAAGCTGCCTGAATCTACTTGGAACTTTATCTTATATCCATTCACTTTTATTAGGGTCATTACTTCTGGTTTTTGACTTTAACACTACAAAGTTGAAACATGGTCCTTGGCAATATCTGGTTCAGTTGAGTCAATGATCAAAAAAGTGACTGACTTCTGGCTTGTTCTTGAATGATACAACAATGAATGTGTCCCTTCTTACAGTATTCAAAACATATATAGTTTTGGAATGGGACTCATGTTACCCCTTACAGTCTTTACAAACATGTTGTCTTCTTAATTCATATGCCTCTATGTCCTTATTTACTACAATTTGTTGAATGCTTGTCTAAGACAACTAAGCTTATTAATAGGACATATTGCATTTACATATTAAAGTAATTAACAATGAAGTAATTGTATGTCATGATAACAACTATATATTATTGTTGGGTAATTTTTTGTTATATATTTTTAAAGTTTTATAAATTTTTATTTTAGTGCCATGCTTTTGTAAACCTGCTGAGGGACCTGAAGGTCCAAAACACAAAGAAAGGGTGTACAGATATAATACAAGGTGAAAATAAAGATATAAACATTGTTTGTTCCTCTGAATAAGTTTTTTCCTTGGTTGCAAAAACCAAAACAACAGTGCAATACGTCCTATTAATAAGCTTAGTCCTCGTAGACAAACATTCAACAAATCTTGTCTTCTTCCTTCATATACATAAACAGAAACACATCTTACACTTTTCCAGCAACTAAATTCAATCAAAAAACAAACATTTTCAACCTGACTGATAAGCCTTCATAAGCTTACAAAATAAAATTTAAATAAACTTCCTTTTCTAATCATTTTTGTTTATGGACAAGGGAGTTCTTAAACAAAAATCATCTGTCTTCTTCATAAACAAATGTCTGTCTTCTTTGTAGGTTGTTTTATAAGTCTGATATCATCACTATTCATCATGCCTGTTTGTAGATAAATTTCTTTTGTAAACTTTGCATCTGTTTCTGCAGCAAATGATTAACCCTTAAAGAAATTCAAGAGGACTTTCCTCATTGCAAAAAAACTAGTGTTGATGAGACAACTCTAAGTCCACATACAAAGTGATCACACAATATGTCATCTAGTTAACTTTTGAACTTACAATATTCATCTTGTTTCCCTAATTTGGTTACAAACATTGAAATGGATTCTCCTACCTGTTGATTTTTGCAGTAGAACTTACCCAACCTTGTGATCTGGAACAGTTGGGGGTATAAAATGTGTTAGGAAAGTGCCCTTCAACTCTTCTTATGGCTTTTATTCCAGCAACTTTGGTGAGACTAGAAATCCTAAATTGTTTGTCTTTGC